GCATGAGTCAAATTTAAAATTATTAGAGCTATTTATAACAATATCTTGCAATTGTGTAATATTTATAGTTTACGAAACGCTTTTACATACAATGTGCCAAGCAGTCTAACGTAGTAATATGATCTTATTTAATAATTGTGTGTAGACACCACTGAGTGTGTGTGAGGCAACGCTTGACGTCATCGGCACTATTACTTCCATTTACAAAGGATGAAAATGAGTTTTGACGTTCTGAGAGGTTAAAAAGTTTCTTTGAGTACACCCAACTAGTAACTGGTAATTAGAGCCATGTTTCAAAAGTCCAAGCCACTTGTCATGTTGAGATTTGCTAGTTTGTCATTTTGAAAAGTGCCAAAATGAAAGACAGAGAAGTCAAACATTTTTAATTGAGCGTCTAATGCTTTACCTTATGTATAGCACATTCAAGTATCCGTTGCTGAACTAATTCAAACACAGAAAAATGAGTCCCATGCAAGAAAAAGGAAAGATAAACTGATAATGTTAAAACTGTAAAGACAAAAGAAAAGTGATTTCCAGAAAAAAATCAGAAACAAGCAAAGAACAGCTGAAGTTTATCAATCAATTCTTTCATCTTATGCTGCAGAGCATCAGTAAGGAATTCCACTCATGAAATGGGAGAAGATTTGATATGTATCATACGAAGTTCTAATAAAGGAAATTGTACTTGAGATGTACAGGTCCGAGGCAGTCATTCATTTCTACAACGGGTTTCCTGTAACCCTCACAGGAAAGTGCTGACATCATGGTTTTGTATGATTTGCTCACCGTGGTATCAGGAAGAAGGATGTGGAGGGTCAGCACCCAAGATGGATCTTTTCTCTGGGAGGGCTCTCCCCTCAGGTGCAGGGCAACTGTCACTTGAGCAAACTTTAAATCCTGTAGGGAAGTGGAAACTTAAAGGGCCAAAAAGCTGAGATCCTGCTATGAAGAGGGGCTACAAAGGTAACTTCAGTGTCAGAGTACAGGGATATGGGGACTCAGTGTGTCCAATAATGGGACAGTTAGTGCTTGAGAACTGGTGTCTTGTTCCTGAGCTTTTTGGTTTACAATTTTATCCTGAAAATCTAAGGCATTGTCTTTTCACAGAGACTCACAGTTCCTTCCTCACTGACCTTTACTTCCACAGTTCCCCTGTGCTCCAGGGACCCGTAGCCTTTTGAGTGTTCACCTTCTCTGATTTTCCCTTGGCACCCATTTCTGAATGATGTCCCCCCTTTTCCTCCTTGTCCTTTCTGCTGCACCCCAGGGAGTCAGAGCTAGTTGTCAAGGGTGTTACTAAAGACCCATTCCACTGGTAACATGATTCCTTGTCAATTCATGCCCTTAATAGGACAGGAAACCTTCACCCTTTTAGCTCTCAATCTGAGTGTTTTTGTGTGTTTGTACATAATGATGATGATGATGTGGGGAAGTGGTATCACCTCCAGCATGGAAATGTCAGAGTTTGGCGAAGCAGGCTGCGTTTGCCTGGGTTGAAGGCCCAGAAGACTGGCAAAAGCAGCCAGCACTGCGCCGCCCTTGAACACTGTCTCGTTGTCTGCTTTTAACGGGCTTATCAGCAGAACAAAACTAATAAATCATGTGCTGCCCGCACCAGAACCAAGTGCTGCCCTCTGAGCCAGATGATTTCATTGTTTAGTTAGCCTGCCTCAGCGAGGGTGTAAACATGGCCTCACCTGTCAGGGAGAAACAGACTCCTATTCTTTTTTTAAAGTGATTTATTCAGATGCAGTTTACATCCCATAAAATTCATCCACCTTAAGTATAAATGTCAACAATTTTTTTCAGTAAATTTACCAAGTTGTGAAACCATCACTACAACCCAATTTTACAACAGTTCCAGTCCCCACAAAAGATCCCCACACCCACTTGCAGCCTGCCTTTGTTCTGAACCCCCGGCCCCAGAGGACCATTAATCTGTTTCCTATCTCTCCGTATTTGCTTTGTCTGGACATTTTATATAAACGGAATAATATAATAACAGTTATTTGTGTCTGTCTTTCACTTCATCTAATGTTTTTGAGGTTCATCCATGTTGTACCAGGTTGCTGAATATTATTTTGTTGCACAGTTATACCATATTTTGTATATTTACTTGCAACATGGGCATTTGGATTGTTTCCACTTCGGCTTTTATAAACAATGCCCTCCTAATCTGAATTAAAAATGTTGGGGTGAAGAGAGGTCAGGATCTGGAGTCAGGAGACCCAGGTTCAGTCCTAGCTTAGTGACCTGTGAGACGGATTTCCTTACCCACAGAGTGGCAGTAACTAACCCCTTCCCTTCCCTGCTCCTACAGTAGCTATAAGAATCAAATGAGATGTTGTGTGTGGAATGCCTTGTGAGCTGTAAAACACAGGACAAACTAAAGGCAATGTTATTGAAGTAGTCTTTCCAGAATGTACTCAAGTGAACTAGATGTTTCTTAAGATTCTTTCTACATTCATAAAACAAATAATTGAGCCTTTGTATGGATAGGATATATTTCCATATATCTATAGGAAATATTGGCCATTTTTCTTCTATAGACTTGGAGTTCTCATCATCTTTCTCTTCTAAAGCTTGTTATTTAGAAAAGCTTTAATATGATTCTACCTCTCTTAAACTTACTTGCTTTCTAAACCTTACATTTAATTGTCAAATAAAAGACTTTTGTTTGAGGAGATGGTCTTCAGATATCCTAGAATCACTGTAGGAGTCAGACTCAGAAAAGTTCAGATTCAATTTAGTCTCTTGGGTATGTCTGGTGATTGTGATAGGCAGGCCTCTGACGAAGGGTCTGGAGTCAGAGTCGAGGCGCTTCCAATGCGTCAAGCCTAAGCGAATTTTGCTATTATCAAGGCAAAGATGATTCAAGTTATCACTTCACTGAAATAGTATTAAACCAATTGGGATAACTAGATCTTTAGGGATATTCAGACATTCATAAACGTAGACTGTTGACCACTTGATGTCTTGTCTAGTTACTTGACTTCCACAAGCATAAAAAATAGCTTCCTTGAGAAAACAAGTACACACTTTGCTTTACGCAAAGAGAACCTGATACTGGTGTCTCACACCCACTCAATCCCAGGGTAAGTATCACATTTAGCGCCCTCCACACCTTCTACCTTATCCAGCACTACGGGCTGCTTCCAAGAAGTTTTATCTTAAATCTCTTTGGGAGATCCAGGATGGAAGAATTCCAAAGCAAGAGAAATGGCTGTTCCCAGTTTACTGGAATCTGAAGCACAGAATGTTAGTGCCCATCAAGTGCCTCTGGTGGAATCACTGGCTAATCCAACCTTAGAAGTCAGGCGCTCCCAGCAACCAGATTCAAATTACTAGGCTGTCTCTTTCCAAAAACAGCAAATCCCCAGACATCTCTAGCACTCCCTGAGGTTACAAAACACAGGCCACCGAGGTCAAGTAAGTCTATTCCTTCTACACACCTTTTCCCCTGAGAAGCCCTTTCTTCCCTTTTCAACAATTGACAATCAAGGCTTTACTAAGTAAAAGCAAATATAAGGGTTACATGCTAGGATCAATTCCCTGATGTTTTTATCCTGTGAATTTTCTCAAAGTATTTATAGATGATAGTAAGATGCCGTATATATCTCCAACAATATTTTTCATATTTTCACATGTAAGCATGACAATCTGCAGACCTGAACCGTTAGACCAGTATTCCTAACATTTGCCACTTTGGCACAAATCGCTGTCACTAAGTAATAATGATGAGAGCTCACTTCGTGTGTACTCACTCTATGTTAGATAACATGTTTATACATTTATCTCATGTCTTGTTCAAATTCAAGCAGCTAGTAACTGGTGGAGCCTGGTTGAAAATCATGTCTGCTTGATTACAAAGTATATGTTCTTACCTCCTGTACTGCTAATATGCCATACTATGATGCATGTATATATGTACATGTGTATATGTCACACATATGTACTGTGTATGAAAGTGTGAATATATACAGGTAGTGTTTAATTTTGCCCCATAAGTACCTTGAAGTAGTTTACAGTTTTTGTATTTCCTAAATGATTTCTGATTTGGAAGGTGATTATATATAAGAATGATGTGTCTTGAAACCAGATTTTGGGTAGAAATGTATGGTAGAAGGCCAATAATGAGGCTTAAGTGTGATTCTCTGTGTCATAAAGCATTGCATCTTATTTGTGGTTTCCATGCTGTCTGACCCATATGTACTGATTTGTCTGTGCAACACCTACACAATCATTTTCACTTTTTCTGCACTGTCATCCTGTTGCCTGGAAACACGTCCTGTAACTAATGAAACTGAATGAAACATATTCTTCAGGAGGCACTTGATTTTAATGTGCTTATGAAATTATTTTAAGTTGGAAATGGAAATACTATTTAAAGATCACCTACTGAAAAACTAAACAAGACACACTCTAATGAGAGGTCAGATCTGCTTCTTTCTACCCAGGCTTTCCGTGTAATACAAAATAGAATCCACAGTGACCAAAACAGCCATGCCATCTTGGCGGCGTGGAAAGATGTCGCCAAAACGACCACATTGATTTCACAGTGGTTAAACAGGCGCCACTGTATAAAATTTGGCTTCTCCAAAGGCTCATGGGGATGAGCAGCTGTTGCCCTCTTGCACATAAAGTGGCATATTCTGGGAGAAACTGAGTCCTAATTAGATAGAAATTAATTCCCTTTAACATCCAGCCCACTCAAAAACAAAAACACTGCTAGCAAACCTTGAGATGTGATAAGAAAAAGATCAAATCCATTTGGTATGCAGCGATTACCTCAGTCTCATAGGACACATTTTTCTCCTGCTTTACAAATACCAAAAGAACCATTTTCAAAACCTGTAGCATGTGTGATGAATTCATGTATTTACTTTCTTGTAATCTATTTATATAAACTACATTAAAGAAAATGTCAAAGCTTTAGTTTATTTCATATCTGAAGTCACATGGCAAACTTAAATTCTTGTTAACATTTTTTATTTATTTAGTACACCATTACAGGTAAAAATGCATTTTCTCCACAAGTAGGAAAGCAACAGAGGAATCATGAAATTTTATACATAAAACATTACGGTTCTACTTAAATACATTGCAGTCTAATTTACATAAAAATATAACTCTAGGGAATGCAAGGGGTTAAAGCTATAGCCATAATTGTACAAGTAATTTTTATACTTATTTATGTCTCAAAGAACACTAAAACTAAATACAATTTGAAAAATTCACAACCAGTGAGGTATTACAATCGAAACAATGCAGTAATGCTTAAGATAAAAATAAACATAAGAAAACATTAAAATCTAAGAAAAATAAATCTAAATAATTACAATATTACGGTTATATAACCAATTCAGAGATTAAAAACTATCATTTACCATGAGGTCATTGGTTATTTTGTCTGGGTCTTGTGTAACATTCACTCATTTAATATATTTAACAACTAGTTTTTGAACTCTCCCTGTGCTCTAGGGAATGTATCTGGCCCTGAGAAAACACTGGAAAACAAAGCAGACATAGACTCTGCCCTCACAGAGCTTACAGTCTAGTGGGGCAGACAACTGAGGACAAACAGAGGCACCTGAGATAACACATGAGAATTGCTATGTGGGAGCCTCCCATCCTAGAGGAAGCAACGTCCATGCTGAGACCTGTAGGGTAAGAAGTGGAGAGGGGAGGAAGGAGATGGAAAGAGGATTCCAGACAGAGCGAAAAGAAAGTGCAAAGACCCCTGAGATACAAGAGAGCGTGATCTATTCTGCAGCAGTGATTTCCAAACAAAGAACCTAAGATACTTGTGCAGCCAGAATGAAATTTTCACCCATCAATGGGAAAATGAAGACAGTGTGGTAAGTCTTTCCAAAGCTAAAGTCATACCCTTTTAATAACCAAGTTTAAGGGTGCCTTATTTTTGCCACTAAAATGGTTTCTTTTTAAAGAAATGACAATCATAGTAGTATATATGTTTATATATATATATGGGTTAGTATATATACATATATATGTGTGTATATATATGCATTTTTTCTCCCTCTGGGATCCTCTATGTATATTTAAATAAATGACCCTATTTTTAAAATTAGTGAAACAAAAACTACTGATTTATAGATTTTGCATGAGTCTGGGAACCACTGTTCAAAGATTAAACTTCTAAACTGTGTTTAATATGATTGAAGGGGGGGGTTAAGGAAGGCATTGAGAGATAAGTCTGAGGAGGAACACAGGGAGTCAGATCATGAGGGGCCATTTGGACTTTATCCTATGAGCAATAATTTTAAGCAGGGGAATGAAACTCTACTTACATTTGTAAAAGCTCATTCCGGGATGTTATGTGTAGCATGTGCGTTGAAAGAGGCAGGACAGCAGGAAGGAAGGCCAGTTAGCCAGCACTAGGGTATCTCAGTAAATGGAGATAAGAGCTGGAATTAGGGCCAAAAATCAGTGAAACAGAGTAGCAAATAATTTGGAGAGATAAACGTACCAGGATTTGATGATCTGTTATATTGGGTAAGGAAATTTGGATGGTCAAGATGAATGTCCAGACTTTTGACTTGGGAAACTGAATCAATAACTATACTAACCATTGAGCTAGAGAATGTAAGAGAAGAAGCCTTTTGGTGGAGGAAGACAATGAGTTCATTTGGGGCATGTTGAACTTGAAGTATCTTGGTGTTCATGACCATTAGGGCAATTGTCTACACAGGTCTCAGGCACATGAGAGAAAGAGCTGAACTTCAGATATAAATTTGGTAGTCAAATGTATACAGGTAGTAATCGAAACTGCAAACATGGGTGAAATTTCCCAGATAATGTGGCATAAGAAAAAGGCTTAAGACATTACAAAAAGCTTAAAGGAAATAAGCCACACAGAAAGAAGCCAGAGAAAAAGCAGTCTGGGAGGACAGCCAAGACACCGAGGTTGGAAACCAAGGGAAGACATTTTCAAGGAGGGAGCAGGCAAGTGTCAGATGGTGCAGGAATCAGCTGAAAGGACTGAAGAATGCTCATTGGAATTAGCAACATGAAGTGGTTAAGGACCTTGAGAAGGGCAGTGAGGGAGCAGAAGCCAGATACAGTGTGTAAATCTGCAGGCAGGAAGGAGCTCTTTCATGCAGTTTGGCCATGAGAGAAAGGAGAGGAAGGGCCAGGGACTGGCTGAAGATGTGGTTGGAAAAAGTGGGTGTTTGTTTTATAAACACAGGAGAGACTTGCTGATGGATATTGTAGGAGCCACTTGAAGGGAGAATTTGAAGACTTCTTGCAAGTGAAGAAAATCAATAGAAATTCAAATAAAAAATATTAACTAGCTTAAAAAAATCACAATATATTCCAAAGGATGGCTGTCAGAAGGGTGGGGTGGGGGAGTGGGTGAAAAGGGGAAGGGGAATATAGTTAATAATATTGTGTTAAGCTCGCATGGTGACAGATGATTACTAGAATTAGGGTGATCACATAAAGTATAAAATGTAACATTACTATATTGTACATCTGAAATTAATATAACCAATATAATATTGGGTATCAGCTGTGCTTGAATTTTAAAAACCACAATATAAATGTTTTTAAAGATATGAAATACACTGTTCTCATAAGAACACAGGATCCCATTTTAAAACTGTCAATGGATTTAAATACACTTAGGGATGTAAAATGATTCCAAGAAATGCTCTTAGGGAATCACATTTAAAAATATTTCTTAAATGGCGTTTAAAATATTATTTATAGATTATAGCAATTTTAGCCCTTGTCCATAGAGATCATACTCTTTAAATAATATGTATCTTTGAATACTTGGCGGTAGAGGAAGCTTCTTCATTGAGGCTGGCTGGCAGAGTCGCTGGAGTCCCATAAGTCTTCGGATTTTTAACCGACACAAATGCTTTAATGAGCAAGGATTCTCTAAAACAAGTGGGGAAAACAAGCAAAAATAAAAACTAATATTAGTGGATTGACCTGGAAGATACAGACTGTTTTAGAATAACAGTAATGATGTTATTCTGAAAAACAGGTATGCACATGTTAGCAACTGGGGACTTTAAGTGAAATTCAAATTGTAATTAAGCTTTCCAGACCATCCCTCTAGCATGTAATCTCCAGGAATACAGATATTTAGTCTGTCTCTGTGTCAGGAACACAGTCTGGCTCATAGGGCCCTTCAGTTAGGGAATGTTAAATGAGTGAATGCACTTGATCTGAGAGAACAAGTGCTCACATCTCCTCCTACTTGTTTTTTAAAATTGAGTATTACAGAGATATATTTCTTTACTTTTGCTCTCTTCTGCAAATCTTTCTCATGAAAACTTATCCAGGAAACATCTGATGCAAATGATTCCATATGTTTATGATTCTTAGGTTTGTTTCAGTGTCTGGCATCTGAACATTTTGTCTACTAATGTCAAATATCAGAGTTAGTCTTTACTTTCAACTCTTACTTTAATTATATTGCAATTTGAATACTGATATTTTATCCCAGCAATATGAGCTAGTGAAAGGGCAGCATAGCACACAGTTAGCTTGGATTAAAATCCTGGCTCTGCTAGTTAGTACTTGTGTAACCTTAGCTGAGTTACTTAACCCCTGTGAACTTGGTATTCTCAGCTGTGAAATGTGGATAAGTGTAGGACCTACCTCCTAGGGTTGTTTGAAGACAACAAAAAATAATTCATGTAAAGTATTAGAAAAGTGCTTGGTACCTTGTAACCATTCAATAATGTGAACTATCACTCAATTAAAAAATAAAAGACATCACATTTCTGTTATACTTGAGATTATAAACATTTAAATTATCTTTTTAAAATGAAAATGATATTTTTCAAAAACAATTGAGGCAAAATAATTGTCACCAAAATAGGCAAAATAAACCCATCTTTTTAAAAAAAAATTACCACCTTAACCTTCTTCCCTAGCAAATATACTGCCTTGAGACTTTGGATCAAGATGGCAGCATAGGCAAGCATAGCTCATCTCTTCACACAACCACAGCAAAATTACAACTAAATTATAAAACAATCATCACTCAGAACTGACAGTAATCAAGTTGAATGGAAGTCAGACAACAACAGAGTTAAAGAAACCACATCCATCCAGACTGGTAGGAGGGCCGAAGACACGGAATGTGCTGGTTCCACATCCACATGTGGTGGATAAACATTCAGGAGGGATATCTTGGGAGCAAGGAGTCCCAGCCCCACACCAGGGCCCTCAGACCAGGGTTCCAGTGCCAAAAAGATAAGTCCCCCCAACTTCTGGCTGCAAAACCCAGCAGAGATTGAGTTGGTGGAAGAAACTACTGGAGCCCCAAGCAGTTCCTCTTAAAGAACCCACACACGGACTCTGCTACTCAGACTCTTTCTGAGCCCCAGGATTGGGGAGGCATCTTGAGGGGCACCAGTAGTGTGCACGAGGGAGGTTGGGGTATCTGGCATCAAGGTGAGCAGAGGCCATTGTCCATTTTCTGGGCTCTCCCCTGACAGAGCTGGCAGACTAGTGCCATATCTATGACTCCATCAACCTAGCTAACACTGTTTGACCTGCCTTGGAGATCCACAGAGACTCTGTTGCACCCAATTTACAGTCCCACCCAAACTGCTTTTCCACATGAATGGCTCATGCTTCACAATTTCCTAAATCCTCTCAAACAAACAGCAGCTGGCCTAAGTGAGACCCAGGCCCAGAACTAGCAGCCTACATTAACAGCTTGGCTTTGCCTGGAAATCTCCAAGCCCAGCACAAGTAGCAGCCATCTCATATTACTTCATAATTCAGCATGTGACCCCAGGTAAAACACAGGTGGAGACTGATCTTGGCCTGCACCACCCGGGAAACCCCAGGGCAGCTACAGACCACGTCGGAGTACCACCATCCTGCACCCACAGCTCATCCTCCACAGAGGGCCGAATTTGGTAGTAATTGTGCCCAGGTGATCCTTGCAGTTGACTGGCCTGGTTAAATCCCTCCCATTGATCTGCCATCAGCAATCAAGGCTCAACTACGAGAAGGTGTACTCACCCACACAGAGGGTCCACCTCAAATACCCAACTTGGGTGTTAGGGGAGACTGTGCCACTGGACCCTACAGAACACCTACTACATTAGGCCACATTACCAAGACATGGAGTCAAAGCAGCCCTACCAAATACATAGAAACAAACACAGGAAGACTGCCAAAATGAGGAGAAAAAGAAACAAGGCTCAAATGAAAGGACAGATCAGAACTGCAGAAAAAGAGCTAAAAGAAATGGAGATAAACCATCTATCAGATGCAGAGTTCAAAATAGTGGTTATAACGATGTTCAAGGAACTTAGCGAGGACCTCAACAGCATAAAAAACATCCAATCAGAAACAAAGGATACACTAATTGAAATAAAGAATAATTTACAGGGAAACAACAGTAAAGTGGATGAAGCTGAGAGTTAAATCAATGATTTGGAACATAAGAAAGTGCAAAACAACCACTCAGAACAATAAGAAGAAAAGAGAATCCCCAAAACAAAGATAGCGTAAGCAGCCTTTGGGACAACTTTAAGCAATCCAACATTCACTTCATATGGGGTGCCAGAAGGAGAAGAGAAAGAGCAAGAAACTGGAATTCTATTTGAAAAAATAATGAAAGAAAACTTCACTAATTTGGTCAAGGAAATAGATATGCAAGTCCAGGAAGCACAGAGAGTCCCAAATAAGATGGACGCAAGGAGGTCCACCCCAAGACACATCATAATTAAAATGCCAAAGGTTAAAGATAAAGAGATGGGAGGGGGGCTGTGGGAGAATGGCTGAGAAGTGAGGGGACTAAGAAGTACAAATACGTAGTTACAGAATAGCCCTGGGGATTTAAACTACAGTATAGGAAAAGGAATAGCCAAAGAACTTATGTGCTGACCTGTGAACATAAACAAGGGTGGGGGGATTGCCTGAGGCAGAGGGGTGGTGCTTGGTGGAGGGGGACAAAAGGGGACAGTTAGGACAACTGTAATAACATAATCAACAAAATATAATTTAAAAACAAACAAACAAACATACTGCCTCTTGTATACCTGGAGAAATCCTGACATCCAGTGGTTAACCATACTCATAGCAATCAACTAACTTACATTCTAGTTGCAATAACAACTGAAAAAAACAAAAACCTTCCTCTTGTTTTTACTTGGATTGCCTTTCGAAAGTCCTAAGAATTGGTCATTCTTTTTCAGTATAAACACATGAAAAATTAATTACCAATTAGAAGCAATATCTGTTCTATGACAGGAAGCAGAGTGGTATTGGAGAAAAAGCCTATGTTTTGAATTGAGACAGACAAGGGTTCAAATTCCTGCTTTGTTATTGTCTGTGTCTACAACTTGGGAAAATTAATTTGTCTACACTTTGGAGTTTTTGTCCTTACAATCTCCAAAATGTTTAACCAAAATGTTTAACCAAGATGTTGTAAAATAAAATATAGATAGAGCAACTAACAAATGCGTAGTTTCTTAAGTTATTATAAGTGATTATTAGGTCAACATCTTTAATTACCTCCCAGGCTATAAATAGAACTGCCCCAGCCACCCCAGAATTCCTTCCACAATCCATCCAAGCTTTATTTATTCCTCCCCTATAAGGAACTGCTATTCTGACTTTTACAGTAATCACTTTCTTTAGAACTTCGTCATCTCAGTGTGCTATCCCTACATGATTGTATTGACAAGATTTTTTTAAAATTTGACATCTCTATTTCTATTTCTTCTTGTGATAAATTTATATAAGTTTTGACTGCAATGATTTTCTGTGGTTCATTTTTATGTGGATTTAGTTTTCCTGAATTTCTAAGAGGAAGTTAGGTTCAAGATAGCTCTTTTAATTTAACAGAGCTTCCTAGTCTGTTGTCTTCTTGCAGTGATCCAAAATATGGTATCTTGCTCTCTGAGGTTTCCTGATTTTGTTTGCCAACCTACTTATGCGACTCTTATCTCTATCCTGCTTGATTCTGATGTTCCTCCCAATGTGGGCCTTGGTTCTGAGAGGGATCCAGACAGCCCAGTTTTTCATGAATTCATCAAGTCCAGACTGTTACATAGTTCCCTTAGCCTTAAGTTTTCATTGCTAAAAATTAGCATGATAACACCTACCTCTACAAGTTGTGAGGATTTCATGATATACTTTATATACATTTCATACTTCACACAAACTTACCAAGTAATAAAAATAATACAAAAACACTAATATTATAGTTTTTTAAATAGCTATATTTGTTGTATTTTTAATATTCTAGGTAGTATGTTAAGCACCTTACAGTCATCATCTTTTTAAATTCCCATAGCAACCTTATGAGGTAACTACTATCACAGCCCCATTTTGCAATGGGAAACCCTTAGATAAAAAAGGTAAGTAACTTTCTCAAAATTACACAGCTAGTATGACTATCTTGGTTATTTTTAGAAAATAAAAATATCCCCTTCTCCTCAATAAAACAAGAATGACACAATAAAATGGCGTACGTTTCCATGAAAATATCAGCTCTGAATGACAACGCAGCAATCCTACTCCTAGACAAGGCCAGAATCTCATCCCATCTGAACTTCCACCTGAGCGCAGAGGTCAGTTTCTAGGCTCACAACACTACATTACTCATCAGATTCTCTAAGAGTCCAGTTTTATTTCCACAAAGTACGTGCTTTCACAAAACTCACTCCAAGGAAAGTCATTTGAGGAAAATTCAAGCTTATCTCAAAATCTGCACTGGGTTGAATTATCACTTTTTCTAGCCAAAGTCTCCATCCTTCTCACAAAATTCAGATGAGTTATTTTAATGTATGAGACTCTGATTGAAACTAAATGTTTAAATGAAAACCATTTTATTGCCCTGGCTGGCGTAGCTCAGTGGATTGAGCACGGGCTGCAAACCAAAGTGTCGCAGGTTCGATTCCCAGTCAGGTTACATGCCTGGGTTGCAGGTCATGGCCTCCAGCAACCGTACATTGATGTTTCTCTCTCTCTTTCTCCCTCCCTTCTCTCTCTGGAAATAAATAAATACATTAAAAAAAAAGAAAACCATTTTACCACTCTTACTCATTTTTGTAGAACTTTATACCTAACAAACTTGGTATGTAAACCAGCTCAACATTAAGTTTCATTTTGTTGACTGAAAAATATAGTCTACCTAATTTACATAAAATTTACCTGATCCTAAAGAATCAGTTGTTAAGTTTTTTTTTTAGTCCATTCAAGAATGATTTGGGTTTATTAAGAGTGGAGGAATATATAAATGTAAAGTTTTATCATGCTTCTTTAGGATCCATGAAATTGATGTCCAAGTTGTTTTAAAGTTTATTTTTCCAAACCAATATTTTGAAAGAGAAAACCTCTCCAATCTCTATGTTTCTATATGTATTTGAAGTAATTTTAGATGCAATTTTATAGAAACATTTGTAATAAGATTCATTTTTATGATTATAACTAAACTTTAACCTAGAGGATAAGACATTGTAGCCTGTCCATAATACAAAGTTTTGATGGTAGGAATTTGTCGATAAAGACCCGAGAGAGAGCATATCAAAAAGGATAATTCTAATTCACACCATTCATTCATTTACTTAGTATTTATTGAGTTTTTACCACATAGTAGGAATTATGCTAAGCCTTGAAAATATAAAAATAAACAACAGTTCCTTACTTATATGGAGATTATAGTCTACATACTTATGATATTATGGGAGTTAATTTTCAAAAATGAATTCTAGTTGAGTGTTAATATAGTTTTATATCACCCACTATAAAATTACAGAGTTGGAAAGTTTCAAGAAAAACAAAAAATTAGTATCATAAATCAAATATTAAGAATGATTTTCAAACACATAATTCTGAAAGTAAAGTAGTGCTGAGAAAATATTAAAGATGACATTAAGAAACTTCCCCTATAGACATTTTTCATAAAAACTTCTGTAGGCAAACCAGTTTTTACCTAGTATTTGACGGATTTCAGGCCATTCTCTCTGTACTTCCAGTGCAGACTTCAGTTTAGCGCACAGAGGGATATAATCCATGTAATCTATTAATACACGAATAACGCTGCCTACCAAGTGTTTCATCCAAGGAACTGTAATAAACTCACAGAACTGAGAGAATTGATAAAATTTAATTTAGTAGTACTTTCAACATACACAAACACTCAATTTTGTTATGAAAATGACTATCTTTATCTTTTTACAGAAAATAAAAGTTCCCTTTTTATAATGAACAAAAGAGAAAAATTAATTATTTGCTTGTTTCTGTGAAACGGTGGGTCCTGGAGTTACTACATGCATGGCTCTGATGTGGTTGTGGTCAACATAACATGGAAGAACCATGCTTCTTTTCACGATTATTCTTTCTACACTTCTAGCCCCGATATTTTCACCAAATGAGCATAAGTTACTAACTGTATACATTTCCACATTCTTCAACATTCAGTTTCCATTTCAAGAAAAATAAACACCATCTTTGGCCCCTAGTTTTATGCTTATGTCCCATATTGTGCCAAAGAAAAATATAAATGTTAGAGTTGAGTTTTCTTTTCTTGTTACATGTCTAAATGAGTGGAAATTAGGATGGTGACCCAACACGCAGAAGGAAAGAATGTAACTCACCGGGTTATCCTTTATTACACAAGAGGTCCATCCTGGCAGTGCCTCTTCCTCTATCTCTGACCACACAAATGAATTCCCAAAGATGTCCCCGTGCATGCATTCAAAGCACAGCTCCACTTGATAGCCATTATTCAGCAACAGCCTCAACATTACCTCATCATTTAGGGCATACTGAATGGCACTGGGGAAACGAGTGTCATTGACATGCATAAAATAACAATTGACATTAGCTCCATGGGAGAGGAGCAGCCGGACAATCTCATGGTTATTGGCCCTCACAGCCACAAGTAGACAGTTGAGGGGATCTAAGTTTGGGTCTGCACCTGCATTCAGAAGGACTTCTGTGCAATGGATATCATTATTAGAAACAGCAAAATACAACGCAGTCTTCCTCTCGTCATCATAGCTCTCAGAAATGTGGTCAGCGAGCAGAGCATTGACATCAAAACCATTTTCAATGAGCAGCTCCAGGCACTGCACGTTTTGCCCATCTGCTGCGGAATGAACTGGTGTCAGCCCACTTTTCTGGATTGCATTTTTGGATGTTACTGGAATAAGATATTTCAGTGCACTAAAAATTAAAAAAAATTGTTTTTAAATCAAATATCCACATGGCATGAAGGCAATCAAGAAGTTAATTAAACCAGCTTCCTCACTAGACAAATGAACACAGTTTGTTTAGTTTCCTTTACTTTCACTAGATAATCTTATACAAAGACATTTAACCTTCATCCATGGACTTACTCCTAATTACTTTAGTGTAATTTGGTTTAGTTTTTTAGAGGTTATAAACATAATTTTACTGATACAGAGGAGGAAAATGAGCTGTAATTGAAAAGCCAGAGGCTATGACATTAACTTTCCTTGTTCCTTATTTTAGGGGAAAAGGCATTCGTCTTTCACTCTTATGAAGGATGTTGGCTATAGGTGTGTTGTTGTTTTGTTTAGCTTAATTTTTATTTGGCTTCCCATTCTAAATATTCCCGGGGATCATGCTGGATCTTATGTTTGGTTCTAGAATTTTGGTTCTTCAGGAACCCTCCCCATCTTGCAATTCTTCTCTGAAAAGCTTAATATTAATCAGCAACCAATGCTATTTAATGAAAAATAGAAAAGTAAGCTCATCTGATGGCATGGAGAAATGTTTCATAATCTTGATCATTATTATAATCATGGAGTCACGGGAATTTAAAGCTGGAAGTAACCTTGAACATCACTTAAGTGCAACTCCTTCATTTAACAGAAAAGTCATATGAAGTCTGGAAAAGTGAAATGACTTGTCCAAGGTCACACACACATGAAGCAAGGATTAGAATGTAAGACTCTTGAATTCTTATTATTATTACTTCTCTTTCACTGCTCTCTGAGATATCCATACTTTAACATTGGCTATGTACATCTTGTCTGCTTCAATATAACCTGAAATCAAATTATTAGCCATAAGAAGAGTTTTTATTATTTCATCAACCTTATATTAGTCCAACAGAGACAACAAACCAGAGCTTATGTTTCTAAGAACTAGCGATAGTTGCAAATTTCACACTTCACTGACCAACTAGACGTGTATGAAAGCCACCAGCAAGGATAACTTGATCTCTTGTGCCTAATTCAGAGCTACCATGTGTGAATTTATGAACACCCTGGGAAGAAATCCAGGTAAACTTTAACAACATGTCACTTAGAGTCAATTAGGTCATTGGCCACTTAGCTAATGTAGCCACTGCAGGTGATAAAGCCTGAGTATTTCAAAGTTTTTGCATGTATTAAATACATTTAATTGCCTAAAACAAACCTCTCATGGCAGTAATTTACGATAATGTTTATAGACTTCTATTGATGTGTCAATTGTGGCACATTTTGTGATTTAAAAATCTATCTAATCATTTTTTATGGAATAAAAAAATCTATACTTATAATGAAACTTCTCTACTCAATGATATATTTGACATTATACTCTAATATCCATATATGTTACTAAATAATTAGAGTAATATTGATACTATTTTCACAAAGGTTAATTCTTTTGAAAGAGTAAAAGTTTCAGAAAGTCTGTAGCATAATTTAAAAAAACAGAAACGCATATTTGGGTGGCTTGTGAAGAATTCTCATGTGTAACTTCCTTCTGAAAGAGAAATTCTTCATTATAAAAGTAGTATACATTCAATGCAGAAATTTTATATACAAAGTACAAAAACATATATGATGTGTCTTGGTGCAGGCTTGTTTGGGGATGGGTGAAGAAGGGGAAGGGATTAAGCAGCACAACTTAGCGGTTATAAAGACAGCCATGAGATGTAAAGCACAGCACGGGGAATATAGTCAATCACATTGTAATAACTATGTGTGGTGTCAGATGGGTACTAGACTTACGGAGGGGAGTACTTTACACAGTATATAAATGTCTAAACACTCTGATGTACATCTCAAACTAATATAATGTTACATGTCAACTGTAATGAATTGTTTTTAATTTTTAAGTAAAAAATATAAAAAGAAGGGGGAAAATCAAATAAATACTTAGGAGAACAAAACTTTTGAATATTTTGCCTATTTCTTTTTGAATGACAGGGGTTATTATAAAGAGAGACTTGCGATTATACATATATGTAGTAATTTTTAACTTAAAATGATCGTCCTATGATTTGTCACTCACAGATAATGTCCCTCGTAGGCAGCTCGGTGAATAGGAAGATGCCCTGCTCTGTTAGGCACATTTCCGCTTCCTCCGTATTCCAGCAGGAGAGAAATGCAGTCAGGATTGCCGCCTCCTGCTGCCTCAAACAACACTGATGCCCCGTCATCGGCCAAAGCAAACACATCACCCCCTGGCAGGGTAAACACATGGCATAGTGTTAACTGCGTGGATTGTCAAGACAGACTCCTTAAAGGTAGTCTGTTTTCCTTTCTGGTGAGGACTTAAAATTAAAACTGCAAAGTTAAGAACGTCTATGCTCTCAACATTTTAAATAAATGATTATGCAGCATATTTCATTGTATTAGAAAATCTTTGCATCACTAGAACATCTGAGAAGTAAGCCAATTTCTATAATAAGACAAATACCCCCAAGAAAAGGGATAGTTAGACTTTTAAGTTTTAAGACAACGGTTTCACTCTATTTCGTTTTCAACAAATATTTATCAACTGCACTCTATGTATAAACACTGTGTGTGACTCAACAGAAGATCCTCAGTTGAACAGCTCTAAGGAAATCAGAGGGGCAGTGAAACAAAACATCCTCAAAGAACACAGGCTGTAACACTGACCTACCATAAGGACTAGCAGGCTCAATGTAGGGGAAAGAGGGCACTGTTTGAACTACGGCTCTGCTGCTGGCTGTGGGAGCTGGGGGCAAGCTATTTACCTCTACCTCCTCATCTAAACAAGGGCAATACAGCCAATGTCATAGGGCTTATTTAATAATTAAATGAGGTTGCACTTTGGGGGGCCTCAAAAATGTTAGTCTTTTCCCTGTCAACAGTCCTTGGGGATCATGTGGTCCTAGCCTTTATTTACAGATGAGAAAAGTGAGGACCAGCTGTTTAACTCACTTGGCTAGGGGCAGACAATGATTAAGTGGCAGAAACCAGTTTCAGAATTTGGTCTCCTAATTCCTGGTTCTATAGTTGGTATAAAACACTTGGAGGTTTCAAAGGCGGGGCAACATCACCATCTGTTGGGCAGAATTAGAGAAGGCTTTAGTGGACAGATGTCTCAAGAAACTGATGTTGAATTATGTGGGACAGAATTCCAGATGAAGGCAGAGGCTTGACCCAAACCCAGACAGCAAAATGTGAGGTATGCTTGGGAGTACTCTCATCTAGTTTGGCTGGAGTGCAGGATACAAGATGGCAGTGGCGAGGGATACACCCAGTAAAATAATTCAGGGTGATGTAGTGGGGACCTGTGCATGAGTCGTGAGAGCCACTGAGGATTCTTTGACTTATTTACATGATTGTAGCTGTCCTTTAGGCAGAGGAGCTGAGTTCAGTATGTAGAAAGCATTCTCCAATGGGGGCGACTGGAAACCTGGAGAAAAGTTAAGAAACGATTGTGTTTCCAGAGAAGATGCAAGGGGCCTGACCAGGATGCAAACCAGAGGGACTGCCAAGGAGAACAGGTCAGTGAGACGCTGTAGCAGTCAGCAACTGACTGGGCTTGAAAAAGAAGGTGATGGAAGAATTAGAGATAAATCTAAGCTTTCAGCTTTGAATAAGAGAAATCATTAAATCAAAAGTGTAAAAGAAGAGGAATTCAGTTTAGGAGATGAGTGTGAAACCCTGGTGAGCCATCTATGTGAAAACTGGCTGTCTCTAAAGAGAGCAATCAGGGCTGGGTGTGCAGATTTGCTAGTAACCGTGATAGGGTTTAACAGGGCTTAATTGAATTGTGGAATAGGGGGCTCTTCAGGGGGGCTATTGAAAGCTGGGTACTGAAGCCTTCTGCCCAGTTATATTCAGGAGAGGAAGAGAAGCCAGTGAGCAATGAAGAAGAGAAAATCCAAGAGGCAGGAGAAAAGTCAGGAACATGCAACTGCTTCACACGTACCTTTGTGGATTAGGTGTTCCAACACATCACAGTGACCGTACTCAGCAGCAACACCTAACGGTGTGACTCCGAACCCGTCTCTCAGGTGGACATTTCCACCGTGTTTCAGCAGCAGAGCTATGAGATCTTTGCGGCCTTGCTTGGCAGCTTCGTGCATTGCTGACCATCGCTTGACACAGGGCTGGTCAAGGCTGGTGTTGTATCTGAGCAGAGCAGACACCATGTCATAGGAGCCCCTTTTTACAGCTTGAAGATGATTTCAAAAAGAACAATTGACAGGAAGCATATTAACATGAATATCTCAGGTGGTATTAAACAAATTACCAAATTTAATATCAAAAGAGATGATAGTTACTCCCTCCTACAAAAGAATACTGTATTTTTCATACCCCATCTCGTTTCTTATATCCAAGTTTCTACTGTGGAGCATAGGCATGCAAGATAGCACTGCCTTTTCTTGAAGACCCTGACTGAGGAGGTCCAAGAGCTTCGTGAAAACTAGTGCTCATTGCTAAGATGCTGTATTTAATCTTTCTAAATTTTAACTTCTTCATAAACAAAATAACCCCAGTTGTATAAAATAGTGTATGTAAAATGTTTAGTATATACTAAGATCTCAGTAACTGATATGTTTATTATTAATAATATCATTTCATCACTTCTAGGCTCCTGGAACAACATGTGTAAATAAGGTTTATCACGTTTTTTCCCCATCCAAAAATAATCCCCCCCAAAGAGAGCAGAATGAAATAAACCATTCTGTCCCATGCTCTTAATGGGAATTTAGGTATAGGAATGTTTAGAATCTAGGTGAGCTGATTGTTCTAAATAGATGGAGCATATGACAGCTAATGTACTCCAATTGCAGAGGATTATAAAATCAGCTGTCTCCCCCCTCTGCTTGTCTCTAGTAGCCAAAATTACACTGTTAACAGTGTTTTCCCTCTTTAGATTAATAACAGATTTTTTCAACATAGATATAAATAGTTGTAAGAGATGTAATGCCTTTTCCCTCATCAATAAGCAAAATCTTATTAAGAAACAGCAAGATGAATGCTACTCTCTGAAGGTAGCAATACATACAGTCCCATTCATTCATTCATTCATTCATTTGGTACATGCTTGCTTTCTGAAAGGCACTATGTTAAGCACTGAGGACAGTGGGAAAAGTCAGATTTGGTTCTCACTTGTGAAATTTACAGTTTGGGGAAGATGCCTATCCTGTCTTGTTTGAAGAGAGACTCAGAGTCTGGGCCATTGCTGGGAAAGGCAGGAGGAAATGTGAGGCCACCCAGGACATCCTGGGCAACTAGAGGCAGAATGCAGAAAGAACCTAAGGCCAAGGCAAGGAGGAGGACTCCAAAGGCATTCGTGGAGGATAAAGACAAACTTTTCCTACTACATTTGGAGGCAAACAAACCATCACTGCAGTGAGATTTCAGTTTTACTTCTATTCACTGTTTAAATTAGAGTCTGTTGACAAGTGCCTTTCTCTGAATCACCCACCTGCCACTGGGAGCTCTAATTACAGTGAATTACCTCATCCTAGCTGGTGTTACTGCTGAGCAAATATCAACAAGTTAAACAAACTAAGAGATGTGTCCTCAATTATCTTCTTGCTCTTACTGCATTTTTCCTTGTGCCTGACTCAGAGAATATACTGGTAAGAGATATTAGTCTTTTTTTCCAGAAAACAACAGTGTGTGTGTGTGTGTATAATATTCATATATAACATATTCAACTTAAAATACTTTTAAAAATAAACTTTACTTACAATTTAATTTTTTGGAAAGAATATATTTTGTTTCCCATAAAAATAATGCAAATTGTAGGGATCCCCTCCCAAGCTAACCCACAAAGACATTCCTAACCAATAGTGCCTGCAATAATGGAAGCTAATCAGGCACCATATTTGTGTGACATAACTAAGTAAAATACAAATTAAATAATTTATGGCACTTTTGATCCTTATTTGGTTGAATCTGCAGATGTGAAAGCAGCAGATACAAATGGCAAATTGTGTCTGGTGAAAAGAATCTACATCTTAGTGGGCCCATACAGTACAAACCCATATTATTCAAGAATCAACTGTATTTATTTAGTATGAAAATTAAGAAAGAGGAATCATAGTCACAGATAAGATGAACATTTTAAGTGACATCAAAGGAATAGCAGTATGAGAGATCCCCTTGGTCTCTGCCCTTGAAGTTCAACAATTTGAACAGCTGTAACTCAATAAAGGATCCCTTGCTCAATGAACAAATATACCTGAGAAATCTGCACTATGAAACAGCTAAAGGTGAGCAAGTGGAGAAAAAGTGGGAGATGAAAATGGAGAGGGGCTGATATGAGCCACAGGCACTGCTGGGCAGCCAGGATCCCACAGTGAGTCTCTGCCAGACAGAGGAGGAATCTGGTGGTAGTTGACACTCCCATTAACCAGGGGAGCAAAGAGACTCCATGGGCACCTCTGCAGGACTGAGCAGTGCAATCTCAGCTCAGCCAAGAAAGAGGGGCAAGGATATACAACACAGGAGTGTGGCCATGGTTAGTTAGATGGTCAGCATTTCAGACCAAGAAACAAAGCCAGGAAGCCTAGCCCCCACCTTTTAGCCTCCCCTTAGCCTCCCAGAGTCTCTCTTGGCACTTGGTGTCAGGCTGCAGAGTGCACTTTCTGCAAGCATGAGAACTAGTACTACAGAATCATATTACTGCCTGAACAAAGGGTGTATTCTGAGACCAGTCCTGGGGTCAGAGTGTAGGAGTATTTTACCAAGAGGGCAAAACATCAAAAAAATTGGCAGGTTCCCCCAGCCCCTCTGAACCCCAACACATCATAGCTACACTAACAGCAGCCAGAGATGGCAAGTTGACACTGGGATCTCACAAAGCTAAAAAAAACTTTTGATTCAGTGCCATCTACTGGAAAATAATAGAAATACCTTTTAATATTAATCTGCTGGAAAAGAGATCTGAGATCTCTCACACATTGATAACTAGAGATCACACATTGATAAAAGAGATCATTCACACATTGATAACTAGACAGAGAAGGAATCCATCAAATATCATGAATAAGCATGGTAGCAAGGCAGATCAGAAAGAAAATGAAAAATCTCCAGAAAACAAATTTAAACACATGGGAATATGTGAATATGTGACATAAATGACAGAATTCAAGATCGCAATTCTGAAAATACTCAACAAGATGCCAGAAAATACAGACAGGCAATTTAGTGAGCTCAGAAAACAACAAAGTAACTGTTTCAACAAAGAGATTGAAACTTTAAAAAAGAACCAAACAGAAATTCTGGATATGAAGATTTTAGTAACAGATCTAAAAGGAACTAGCACACATAGGAAATAAAACAAACCAAATGGAGGAAAGGACCAGTGATATTCAAGATAGAAATTTGGAAATGATGCATAGGGAAAAAGAGAGATCTGAGCATAAAAAAATGAAAGAGTTCTATGAGAACTATCTGACTGCATCAAAGATAGAAATATAAGAACACTAGGCATACCAGAAGAAGAGAGAGAGAAGGGAACAAAGGGCCTTTTCAAACAAATAGTTGATGAGAGCTTCCCCTGGCTGGCATAGCTCAGTGGATTGAGCATGGGCTGTGAACCAAAGTGTCGCAAGTTCAATTCCCAGTCAGGGTACATGCCTGGGTTGCAGGCCATGACCCCCAGCAACTGCACATTGATGTTTCTCTCTCTCTATCTGCCTCCATTCCCTCTCTAAAAATAAATAAATAAAATCTTAAAAAAAAAGAAGTAAACAGAACACCTAGTTACCTCCATCTAAGGAGGCTGCCTCCAAGGCACATTGTATTAAAACTGTCAAAAATTGATGACAAAGAAACACTTCTCAAGGTAGCTAGGGAATAGAAGAAAGTAACCTGTAAAGGAGAGCTCATTAGGTTATCATTGACCTTCCCAGCAGAAACTCTATGAGCCAAAATGGAGTGGAATCAAATATTTGAACTATTGAAAGAAATTGCCAGCCAAGAATAATATATCCAGCAAAGTTATCCTTCAAATATGAAGGAGGAATAAAGACTTTTCCAGACAGACGGAAGCTGAGGGAATTCATTACCAGAAGACCTCCACTGCAGGAAATACTCAAGGGTTTTATTCTCCCTGAAACAAAGAAAAAAGATCACAACACTATGAATAAGATCACCAACAAACTTACGGCACAAACAGGGATAATTTATGACAACAAAACATAGAGGGGAAGGGAAAAAAAGATCTCAATTTACAAAGGAAGAAGGAGTTCACACACATTCAAAAGAAAAAGGGCTACTATATATACAAAACTTTCTTTTTCATATATCTAATGGTTGTAATGTGTGATGTGTGTGTTTCAATATATCTAATGGACTCACACACACACACACACACAACTGAAACACATAACAGGAAAAAAAGAGGAAAGAGAGGAAGGAAGTATGGAATACCATCAAACAAAAACAGGCAGAAGCACAAAGAAAAAGAACCCATGGAGGCTCACAGCTACCAGAAAACAAAAGATAAAATGGTTATAGAAAATCCTCATACATCAATAATTACCCTAAATATAAATGGACTGAATTCATCAATAAAGAGACACAGAGTAGCAGATCAGATTAAAAAAAAAAACAACGCAACCCTATGCTTCTGTCAGGAGACACATCTAAGCTGCAAAGACAGAGGTAGATTCAAAGTGAAAGGGTGGAAAATAATTCTACAAATAAATAATATCCACAGAATTGTCATTGTGGCCATACTTATACCTGACAAAAGAGATTTTGAGATAACAAAGGTCACAAGAGACAAAGATGGACATTTTATAATGATAAAGGGAATACGACATCAAGAAGACAATACTTCTTAATATATATGCAAACAAGCAGGAAGCACTTAAATATATAAAGCAACTACTAACAGAACTAAAGAGAAAAACAGACACAAACACAGTCATAGTTGGAGAACTTAATACCCCGTTGACAGCTCTAGACAACTCATCCAAACAGAAAATCAACAAAGAAACATCAGCCTTAAATGACATGATGCCAAAGGGACATAACTGATATTTACAGAGTGTTTCATCCCAGACCATCAGATTCTACATTCTTCTCCAATGTGCATGGAACACTCTCAAGGATAGACCGTATGTTGGGTCACAAAACTAGCCTCAATAAATTCAGGGAGATTGAAATTATAACAACCATATTCTCTGACCACAAAGCTTTGAAATTAGA